GCACTTACTTTGGCTTGATGACAACAGAAGCGAAAAAGAAATTTTCAACTGGCTTCCAGCAATATTGGAATAGTTCCAAAATGTGCAAGTTGTGGGAATAAACACCTCCCCGCTACTGTTTGCAGAAATAAACATAAATAAATCTCTTGAGTTTTATTTGAACACCCCACTAAAATTCCAAATAGGATCCCTTGCACGGTTTAATGACTTTCAGTGCTGCAACCCGTTCAAGGAGCTTTTGGCGAGGCTCTGCCGGGCAAACCAAATGGAGCCACCTGTTTCGGAGGCTGGACACCCACCATTACACAACAGGAGGGGTGCCTTGACTAACGATCTAAATCAGGCTGTGATTTAAGAATGAGTCTGCGACCCGTCTAAGCGGGAGAGCTGAACCTGATATATGGACGTATATATGCATATATGCACCGCTTATAAAAACTTTGGGTTATTATTATTGATGATGCGACCTCAATGAGCTGCAGCATTGTCGTCCATGAAGATGAAATGTTGTTCATGTAGGGGTATAATCACTGGAATAACCTTTCGGGGACAGTAGTTACTACAGTGGACAGCTTATCATGTTATCAGGTTACAGGGTGCATGTTATTCGGGTAGTATGGGGTTGACACTGTACCATTCAAAAAGTGTAGGGCAGTTCTGTACCCGACTGGATACGCCCGCCCACACTGTAACACCGCCACCACCAAAAGCTCGTCTGGTGATGCCTAGCACTCTTGTTTGACGTTTCCAACATCTTTGACGGGCATCGTTTCTGCCCAACGTGAATCGACTTTCATCAGAGAACAGCACTGAGGCCCACTGGTCCCTTGTGAGTCGTCTAGCACGCAGACCACACTGACGTAAACGGTTTCAAATGGTCTGATGTGACATTTTGGTGCCTCTCAACTCCCCTTAAACGTGCCTGGAGTTGAGCGGCATTCATCATCCGGTTTCTCAGGGCATTGTTCACAAGCATGGGATGCAGCCAAAGGACTTCCACTTCCACTTCTCCATCTTTCTGTAACTCTTCCAGTCTAATGTGTGTGTGTGTGTGTGTGTGTGTG